AGATGTTCTTGATGAGATAAGAAATTATTGTCCATTTTTAGGTGTGATGATGGTTTTGTCTTTCTGTTTAAAAGAACCCTTTTATTTTATTTTTATTTATTTATTTATTTTTTTGAACCCTTATCTTTTAGAGACATAAAGCATTTGTGGGTAAAATGATGTGATGTTTAGGAGGATTTGCTTTAAAGCAATATGGATGGGGATATAGGTGAATTGAGATTGGTCATGAGTCGATAATTGTTGAAACTGGTGATGGGAACATAGGAGCTCTGTATTCAATTCTGTTATTTATTTGTTTAATTCTCCATAATAAAAGAAAAAACTTTCTAAAAGGTATATATTACATGTAGAATAGAGACTATTCCACTAAGTATATAACACATATATTAGATGGGATAGAAAGGATCAATGAGCATAAAAATAAATTATATGGACGAAAAGGTACTGTGGTTGTAAGTAAGGTGAACACGGAGGGTGAAGAGGCCACAGAGGCTCCAGCAGGCCCTGTGTGGAGAAGGGCATGCAGTGGTGCCCTACCATCAGTCTTCTGTCCCCCCAGGTGACGGTGGTCCGGAACTTGGAACCCTATGGTCTAGACCCGTACTCAGTGGCTTCCATCCTCCAGCAGCGATGCCAGGCTAGCACGACGGTCACTCCTGCCCCTGGGGCCAAGGACAGCCTGCAGGTCCAGATCCAGGGAAACCAGGTCCATCACCTCAGCCGGCTGTTGCTTGGTGAGCGTCCTCTGAACAAGCAGAAGTGTTGGTCCAACTTGGCAAAAATCTTCCACCAATTCAAGTCCTTCTAGTCATCGTGTGTGTGTGTGTGTTTAGCCACATAGCTTTTTAGTGGCCAGCAAGAGACAGAGCTAATAGTCGAGCCAGATCCTAGGCCCCCAATTCAGGGCTCTCTCTACCACATACTATTGGAATAGTTTCCTTCCTGGTTTTCCCTTTCATAAAACATGCTGGGTAGTCCGCTGGGCTTTTCGCAGGCACCATCTCTCCTTCTGACGATGCAGCAGAACTGTTTGTGTTTTGCAGCTGAGGAAGCTGAGGCTCGGAGAGGCTCATGCCTTTGCCGGCACACCTTTAGCTGTTCACTGCTGCAGCTGGGCTCCGGGCTTGGCTTTGTCAGATCCCAGAGCCGGAGTTCTTTCTCCCAGCTCTGGGTCACCCAGCCTCCAGTTTGTCGCCTGAGTCAGCTTTCCAGCACTCCCCTCTAAACACTCTTGCTGCTTGCATCAGTGCCTTCAGAATAAGTCCCTATGTTCAAAAAATAAGACCCTCCCGGGCCAGCTACCCTTCAACTCGGGCTCTGTCTGGCAGCTCTCACCTCCCCACCCCGACCATCCTTACTGCTCCCCACACACACCAGGCACATGCCCATTCGGTGCTTTTGTCCCTGTCCCCTCACCCAGTGTGCGTGCCCTCCCACAGCCCACGTCTGTCTCAGAGCACGTCCCATTTTTTTCTTAAATTAGCATTTAAAAAATTGCCAATGTAGCACTTTCCAGTTGTGTTTGTTTTTCTGGTTAGTGCCTACAATGTGGCCAGTTTTTTCTAATGTCTGAACCCCCTGCCAGACTGAGCAGCCTGTCAGACCTTGCCTTCTTCATCTGTTTTTCATACTTGGCCTGGCACACAGTAAAGCTTGATATTTTAGGGCCTAAGGCAGTACCGTATTGTAGACTTTTGAGTTGACTCCTTTAAGTGAACTCATATGAGGTGCTGAGAAGAAACACAGAGGAAAATAGACAAGTACATGATTGAATAGACGTACATGTCCTCTCCTGAGAAAATCATGAATGCATCAAGTATATCTAGAAAGTGGCTATTGGTGTGAAAATGCCTGAAATAGGCACCTCATCCATGAGATGTAAGGATAAATCGCCCCTCCCCAACAGCTTCCCAGAGGAGCTGGCTTGGAATTGGGTGGAGAGCAGGTCATGTGACTGAGGTTAATAGAACAAAAGTTGACAACAGGAATGAGTGTGCTGGGGGGCAGTCGTGTGGGTCGGGGCCCATTGGGGTTGGGGCCAATGAGGGACATTGTGACACAAAGTGCAGGTGGCAGCAGGGAGGGGAAGCTCATGCCCCACTGAGGAGTTTCTGCTTTTTGGATTGTAGAAGAGTATCGGCTTCCTCGAAAATACATTCAAGGCCTAGAAAAAGCCCCCAAACCTGCCAAGAAGAAGTAGCAGATTCTTGTTTCACGTGGTCGGTCCGGTGGAAATCCAGGCTGGTAATTTATATGAGCATTTTCAGCTTTTGCAAATGAAAAAATATAATTCTTTACCAAAATAAATTTTTATTCTAATCTAAATCTGATTTCCTCTCTTGTTTCCTCCACTTAGCTAGCATCTTGTACTAGATTTTCACGTCATACCTCAGATTACATCGACAGAAGCGGCAGTACTGGAGTGCCTTTTCTGTTCATGTGATTTCACTGGTTTTAGTTCCTTTCCTGCTTTAAAGGCTGGGTAGGTAGGGCCTTCCTGTTTTTAAAGCCCTTCTAGCAGATAGTCCACAACCTCTTGCCCATCTGCTCCTACCACCTAATTAACCTCCTAGCCCTGGGACGCCTGGGTGGCTAGTGGTTGAGCACCTGCCTTCTGCTCAGGGCGTGATCCTGGAGTCCCAGGATCGAGTCCCACATCGGGCTCCCTGCATGGAGCCTGCTTCTCCCTCTGCCTGTGTCTCTGCCTTTCTGTGTATCTCTCATGAATAAATAAATAAAATATTTTTTTGAAAAAGTCCTAGCCCTAAAATTGTCCCCTTCCATCTCTAGAGAGTTGGTCACACAGAAGCAGCATTCAGCTGTTCTCTGCTGTCAAGCCAGGCCAAAGAAGAAAGGCTTGGCTCTAAATAGCAGCAACATTTCAGCTGGACAGAAATAAGAAATCGTGAAAGCACACAGGCTACCCTACAACGATGATTCTTCCGCAGCTCTGGCATGCTGCCGCTGGCAGTGGTAAATCGTGATTCGGCTTCGAGATGGTGGCTTTGTGACAGGAAAGAGTCTTACCCAACAAAAGCTTTCTTTAGCCCCAGACTTCACCCCGGGGCTCATGGAAGAGGTCTTCGGTTGGTCTTCAAAGGGTCTGTGAACTCGGAAATGGTACACAAGACTGTATGCTCATTTTTCTGAGGGAGATTCCCTTGCCTTTGCCACATGCCCAGCAGGATCATTTACTGCCAAAAAGGTTCAGAACCACCCTTCTGGTCCCTGCTCAGCTCCTGGAAGTCACTTCTCTGACCAGAGCTCTCCTCGTACGGAAGGAAGGAGTGAGAGCTGAACTGAATTTTTCTAGAGTTGTTTGATTTTATTTTTGTTTTAAGATTTTATTTATTTATTCATGAGAGACAGAGAGAGAGAAAGGCAGGGACACAGGCAGAGGGAGAATTAGAGTTCAATTTACTTTTTTTTCTTACTCCTCTCTTTTTAATCAAGATAAGAAAGACTTGAGAATCTGCACAATATTCACAAATTACCCGTCTGGGGCTAGAAAGGAAGAAAGGGATGGGTGTGAACGTGTGTGTGATGCCTCCTACCTTCAGTTATTACACCCGAAATAATGGTCCTTGTCACTTGTGACTCACTGTAAGGAAACTCTTCCATTTTACTAATCCTCTCTGCCAGCATCAGCCTATGGAACTGAGGAAAGGATTTTTTTTTTTTTTTTTTTTTTGAAATTCCCAATCCAAACAAGCTTCTATGACAACAGAACCTTTGGACAGTTTGATCTGAGGGACTGTGTTACATACAGTGGTAATGGAATATGGTCCTTCTGTGAGTGCAGTAGCAGGCTCTCTCACAAGCATGACTTTCCTTGCACAATCTTGATGGGATGGGAGGCTGAGAGAGGGTGTGTCTCACCGTGTTGAACTCTTGTTACAGACACAAAGCCAGTAAACAGCGAGGGTAGGCCTAAAAATCCATGTCCACTCCTGCCTGTGGTTTAGCGCACAGTTCTGCTATGACCAGCTCTGCTATGACCGTGCTATCAGGAACTGTACTTTCAGTGGTTTTTCCAGTAACAATGACCCATTTGTGCTGACTCAACTTCCTTCTCCTGGGGAACACCTTAGGGGCGTGTAAGAAGGCTGGGAAAGGTTAGACTGTCGAATGGATTTTTTTTTTTTCCTCTGTGCTAAACCGAACAGTCTGTTTCAAAGTCAAATTCCTAACTTTGAACTTAATCCCATCCTGTTACCAAATGAGTTTCAGTGAAAAGCAGAAATCGGTTCACGTCTGCGTTTTGGCAGAGTTGTTAAAAGACCACTTTCTTGGAGGTCTAGGCAAACAAATGTTAGATATCCCCCCATTCTCGGGTACTTTTAGGAATGTCTATCGGATGTTCTCTCCACCAGGGAGGTAGGGAGCGAGCTGGCCACACTGAGCATCCCCTGGGGCCCGAAAGGGCCTTCCTCAGTGCTTATGAAGTACGGTCGCTACTGGGAGGCAGGCAGGAATTTCTTTAATAACCTTATGTGGTTATTTTCGTGATGATGGAGCTGTTCCTCTGATGGGAATTAGATAATGCTGATGGGAAAGGACTGTTTTACTCCCCTCATCTAGCCTTCCTCCTTGAGGGAAGATGATATGAAACTCTCAGAGATGCATCCTATCTGCCTTATTTTTAAAGAATTCCAGAAATAGGAGACTCCACGTCCACCTCAGTAGTCTGTCCTAATGCTTCAACATCCCTAACTCGAGGAAGCCAGCCCCTCCTCTCTTCTCACTCGGGATCTCCTAGAACACCTCCCCTTTCCTCTCCTGCTCTGTGGGGATGCACAGCAGCCGGGCACCAGGGCAGCACCCGCCAGCCCATGCACGTGGACTGTGTTCTCAAGATTGGAACAGCAGCCTTCATTCCTGTTCACTGGCAAAAGAAAATCTGTGCCCAGAAGTACGTGGTCTTCTCTGTTCTCACCCTCTCTCCCAGCTCCCCATTTCCAGGACATGGTGAAGGGCAAAGAAGATGTCTCCAGTCTGAATCATTTTTGCAACAAGCTTTTATTATCTTTTTTAAAACCCAGATAAGAAAAGACATTTAAAAAGAAAATACCCTCAAAACCAACGTACACACAAGGGGCAACACAAGGATAGAAGGCACTACCAGCAGTGATACCCACCTCTGGGGGAAGGGATACTTTATCCAGACTGTTTGCCGAGGCTCGGGCCTCAGGTTCTGGGTGTAACCGTGCTTCAGATGAAGTTAGAATTTTCCCGTAACTCCCTTGCTTCATAAACACCCCTATCTCTTTATATATAGCTATATGCCTTTATGTATATATGTACACGACTTATTTTTTCCTTCTCAAAAATAAAATCGCCGCCCCCATCAGAGGGAGGATCTCAGCAGCATTCACAGCGGCTGCAGCAGGAGCTGTGCCTTCCACTAATGTTAAGGACATGCAGCAGGAAGGAAAACGGACTCTCAACCCGCTCCCTTTAATATACAGCAGGGTGAGAGGTTTTTTTGTTTCTGTTTTTAAGGGAGGGAAGCAAGAAGGCTGAGCATGAGATGGCAGATAAGCAGGGTTTTAAGGGGGTCTAAAAAATCTTGTTCAGCTGCGAGCTTGTCCTGCTTTTGCAGCTCTGAAGACTGCACACAGTTTGTATGACGTGGCGTCAGCATTCCTTCTGCCATCGGGGCAGCGTGGACACACAGCAAGAGTCAGGGAGGGGACTTCTGAGGTTATACAATGAAGCCGGGGCTCAACCCAACCAACCCAAGAAGGACCTGGGGAGGCAGAGGACAGCAAAGAACTGAGGTCTCAGAGGCTGGACTGGAAAACCGGCCCTGCTCCGAAAGTTCAAAGTCCTCCCTCTAGGCCCGGCTACTTGCTTCAGTTGTTTGGCTAGTTTAAGTCTGCACCTGAACAAGGAGCCCATGCAGATGTAGGCTGGGGATCTAATCACCCTTTCCATGTGGTTTGACGTCACTTATTGGGAGTCAAAAGCTCAGGACCTTAGATGGGAAGGAGGTCTGTGACTCTTGCCCCACTCGCGGAAGAAGGGCTCTCCCGGCCTTGCCTCCCACACCACCATGGTCCGCTTCCTGGCAGGAGCAAGTGCGCAGCAGAGCGTCAAGCAAGGGCGCCCTGCTCCTGTTTCTCTCTGAAAACAAAGGCACTGAGGTCAGCGGGAGGCCAGCCCACAGGCTCCCTGCGCGCAGTGCCACGGGCTGGCCGAGCTTCAGAACACCAAGGACTCCAGGTTGGCCTGAGCTGGGAGGTCCCGAGCTGGGAGGTCCCCCCGTCTGTAATGAAGGCAGCTCCTCTGGCAGCACCTGGAGTCCCCAGAGTCCCTGTGGGAGGAAGAAGCAGTGCCCAAGGCCAAGCAGGAGAGCAGGGCAGCCAGGCCCTCCCTGGCTCTCGAGCTGGGGGAAGGCTGAAGACAAGGTGGCCACGTTTCTCAGCGGAGCTTTCTGGCTCTGCCTAACTGCCTGATTTCCACACCCAGCAGGAGACATTGAAAATGGTAAATGGCTCGTTTCCCTTTGGTGGAAACACGATGGCGACATGAAACTCCAAGTTGTAACTTAAAAACAAACACTTGTTGACAAAGACGTGATGAAGCATCACACGCACACATCTGTATGCCTTTGGGTTCACATGGGCACAGACTCTCGAGCAATGAGGTGAGGGCAGGCTGCAGCTCTTCTCTGGAATTCTCTGAGCCACCCTCAGCTTTGGTGCTCCCTACCTGAGCAGCTGGGTCCAGTGGCTTTGGGACCCTCCCTTGAGCATGAACGGGCACCTTGGGACAGTGAGGGACAGTGCTCTCACGAGCATCATCCTGCTTTCCGGGGCATAGCTCAGACCCACTAAAGGAATATGCTACAATTTTTGACTCATAAATAAAGGTCTATGGGTGGCAAATAAGAGAAACCGAAGAAGAATGAAAGGCGGAGAAAGAACATACAGCTCTAAAACCTTTCTTCTTTCCTTTGCCGGCCGGTGCGAACGGTTCCAGTTTGGTGACGAGAGAGGCAGCTGGTTGGCTTATGAAGGGCTCCCAGGTTGCCCAGGCCCCGCGCTCTTCTTTCCACCCCGCCCCGATCCCGCTCCTTGGCAGCGTGTGGCAGGCAGGGCCCGGCCCGCACGCACACGTGTCCCTCAGAGATTTCGTGCCACATCTGGAACTGCCGGGTGGGCATAGAGGCACCCGCCAGAGGGGTCCTGAGACAAAGTGTCTGTTGCAAAATAATAATTAATAATAAAAATAAAACCGCGGGCACCAGGAGAAGAGGAAGCAGGACCGGTTAGCCAGGTTTGCCCTGGGACTCTCTTAAGGCCTCCTCCAGTTTCTGCCTAAACTTGTCGTACTTCTTCTGCACTTGCTGGATTTTGTCCTGCTCCTCCTTTTCCAGGATTGTTAGGAAGTTCTGGAGCTCGGGGATGGAGAAGGCATCCCACTGCGAGGCACAAGGAAGACGGGGGAGAGACAGGACAGGAGACTGGTCAGAAGCCGCACGACGTGAGGGGCCCCGCCACCTCCACCTGCCCATGGTTGACACGGGGTCTGCTACCCAACAGGCAAGTGCCGCGGATAAAGCTTGGGTTTCCTGCATTGAGCAGCAACCACATTTCAAATCCTGACATCTCATGACCCAGAGGTACCAGCCCATGAGCGGTGTTTGATCCGGAGAGTCAATGATCTTCTATTTTCTCTGGCGGCTGCGGTCTGGACAGTGGTGCTGGAGGTGCCGGGGCCCCGGCTGGCTGGCTCGCTGGCTGCTTCGGGGTGCCAAGCGACAGGCCGTTAACAGGCCTCCAGACACCGGGTTTCAGCCCAGCTCCAGCGCATGACCTTGAGCACACCACTGCACTGCACCCTTCTGTCCCGTTTGCTCATCTGCCACAGAATTAGGGTCCCCGCCTCCCTTAGCTGGCAGAGCAGAAAATGGGATCACAGAACCTGGAAAGCTCTGGAGAGCCCGGCTGGCCCAGGTCTGCCCCAGTGGGACCTGGTCTCTCAGGACAGCAGGCAAGTCTGACGCCTCTCAGGCTGACCCAGGAGCAGAGCCCACCACCGTGCGGAGTCAGGGGTTTTGACTCCTGAGCTCTTCTGAGCACAAAAGAATATTGAGGTTTATCTGGTTTAAGCCCCACGTTGCGTAACTGAGAAGACTGGCGTCCGCAGAGGGAAGGCAGCACAGCTACGGTACAGAGCCTGTGGCAGCTCGAGAATTCGAGCCCGATCTCTGAACTCCCAGGCCCATGAGCTTTGCACGGGCCAGCAGTGATCAAACGTTTTCACAGGGCACCTTTTTCAGACAAAACCTTCTGCGTTCCAATGTATAAATCAGATGGAAGCAGAGCTGCCTGACTGAAGTGGGGAGAAGGGACGGAGCCCAAACCTGCCCTCATCCCCTCAGTGCCCCAAACCCTAGGCTTCCAGCGAACACAGCGTGACACACGCTGCCCTCGACTGTCTTGACTCCCAACTCACAAGTATCCCCGGCCACGGAGATCACCCCCCTGATTCCACGCAACTTTGTGCGGCCAGGCTGGACTCTTCGCTCCCCTCTGAGGAAGGAGGCCAGTTTTTAAGAACCAGGAAGAAGGAAAAGACAAGTGGCTCAAGAACCTCTACATCCAGCGGAGCCCAGAACCCAAGCGTGCTGCGCCTCAGGCCGTCCTGGAGCAAAACCCCCCTGGGCCTGGACACAGGCGTTTCTCGGTTCCCCTCCGCCCTGGGTGTCAGGAGGAAAGCACACGAAATCTTTTCTCTGCATCGGCCTTGCCAGACACTGGCCCTGACTTGCTCCCCCAGGACACTTACTGTCCTGGCTTCAGACACTAAACCTCCAAGGCCCAGCCCTTACCCGGGCTCGACTGACTCTCCCAGGCCATATTCCCAGCTGCCTCCATCGCCGCTGCACGGCCCCCGCCAACACTGGGGGTGAGGACAACAGCCGCCTGCACCTGCCCAGGGCGCCCCGAGGACTGGTTCGTGCCACAAGCACCAGGGCCCAGACCTACCTCCACTTCTCCAGTTTCGTTCTCCTTGAGCACGAAGCTGAGGACGTCATTGTCAGGCCCAGCAAGCAAGCGCAGGTAGAGAGGGCAATCAGCTACAGAAAGTTTCTGGAAGAGCACTGCAAACCAAGAGAGGGAGCTGGAGGCTCATGTTGGAAGAGAGGGGCCGGGATGGTGGGACAGGCCCGGAAAAGCAGACGTGGGGTGGTCATGACCGCAAGTCGCCATCCTTTCAACCTAATGAAATGAACCTGACCTTTTATCCTCGCTGTCTACTCAAAAGAGTTTGAAGCGTGTTTCCATCCACATCACGCCCGCAAGAGAGGATGTGGGCGGCTTCTCTCCCACTCCACGGGTCAGGAAGTGAGAGCCCAGGGCATGGTGTCCCGGCCGTCATATATAAAATGAAAAGCACGGAGAGCAAGCCTGAGCTCCCGTCAAGCTCTCTGCTCGGGGTGCCAGTGTGGCCCTTCCACGTGGCTGGCCGGTGGCGTCCAGGGAAAGCCCAGTCCCCCCAGCCGGGTGTGGCAGGGCTCTAGTGGGACAGGTGGTTTCTCACGGGGGGCTCGCCCTCTCATACCTTGCCCGTCCTTGTGTATCCGCTTAAAAAGTGCAAACTTCTGGGGATTGTCCACAACCATGAACTTCTTGAGCAGCCCCTGGATGACCTCGCTGACTGTGGTGGTGCTGCTGATGTGCAGCTGCTTGATGGCATCGAGCGGAAGGTAGAAGGACGTCCGCTTGTCGGTGGTGGCCGCCAGGTTCACTTCCTTGATGGCATCATAGATGGACTGGGGCCGGATCCCTGCGGGCACGGTCACCGGCCGCCGAAGTTTCAAATGCACTTTGATGAAACCTGTGTAGGTGCCGTCTTCACTCTGCGGAGCAGGGGATGCCCCGTGGGTCAGCTCAGGTCTACCTTGCATGATCCCACCTGCCACGCTGGGCCACTGCCCCAGGTCGGGGGGCCAGGGGGTGCCGGGAAGGGGTGTTGCAGAGGCCTTTCCCAATAGCTGTGCCATCCCAGTCCGCCCCCCTCCTGTCTCCCCGAGTTCCTTACTGTCTCTGCTGATCTGGGGGTGCTGCAGAAGGGACACCGCCCCCCCCAGCCGCCCCGCGCTGGGCCGGGAGAAGGCAGCAGCCAGAGAGGATGGGGAGCTGCTGTGGCTTTCCTTCCCGGGCTCAGGCTGCCTGCCCTCACCCCCAGGGCGCAGCGTGTGCAAGGCCTCCCAGTTTGCCCTCGAGCCCAGGGAGGAGCAGGAAGGCTCCGTAATGAGGTCCTCGAAGAACCAGCCCCCTGCATCTCCTCCTGCCTCCCAAGCCCGGGAGGTCCCCGAGATCCGCCAGCAGGGGGCAGGCTCCCCACGCACCGCCCCAGGAGGGCAGCCACGGGGGGGGGGGGGGGGGGGGGAGGGGGAGGGGGAGGACGCGGCTGCGAGCTGAGCCCCCCTGCCGCCGCGCAACACCAGGCACCGAGGCCCGCCACGGCTCCGACAGGGGCGCCACGTGTCTGTTTTACCCTGTTCCCCGGGAATTTAAGGAACTGTTTCCCCGAGCGGAGGGGGAAGGGCCGGCGCCTGATGGGGTCTCCCTCGAGGGCGCGTCCTGCTTCCCTGCGGCGCCCCCGGAACCCCCCCCCCCGCCCAGGCGCCCAGCCCGCGCAGGCCCGCGGCCGGAGGAAGGGCCGGAGGGGCCCAGAGGGGCAGCGCGGCACCCGGGGCCGGCAGAGCACCCAGGGGGACGGGGCCGCGGGGGGGGGGGCAGGGGGAGGGCAGGCCTGGCACCCAAGGGGATGGGGCGGGGGGGGGCAGGCCCGGCACCCAGGGGAGATGGGGCAGGGGGGGCAGGCCCGGCACCCGGGGAGGCGGGGAGGGGGGGAAGGGGTGGGGGGGGCAGGCCCGGCACCCAGGGGGGTCGGGGGGAGGGGTGGGGGGGGAGGGGGTGGGCGGGGGGCAGGCCCGGCACCCAGGGGGGGCGGGGCGGGGGGGAAGGGGTGGGGGGGCAGGCCCGTCACCCAGGGGGGATGGGGCAGGGGGGGCAGGCCCGGCACCCGGGGGTATGGGGCGGGGTGGGCAGGCCCGGCACCCAGGAGGCGGGGGCAGGGGGGGCAGGCCCGGCACCCAGGGGGGATGGGGCGGGGGGGGGGGCAGGCCCGGCACCCAGGGGGTATGGGGCGGGGTGGGGCAGGCCCGGCACCCAGGGGGGATGGGGCGGGGGGGGGCAGGCCCGGCACCCAGGGGCCGGGGCCGGGGCGGGGGCGGGGGGTGCGCACCAGCTTCATGCCCAGGCAGTTGGCCTCGCGGCTGTTGTAGCTGTCGATCCTCTGCCTGAGCTCCTGCAGTGAGGGCGGGCGCTGCGGCTCCTCCGCCACTTTACAGACGTTCTGGAACAGACACGGAAGGGAGAGCGGGTGTGCGGGCTTCTCTGGATGAGAAAGGGGAGGGCCTCGCCCTCCCAGAGAAGCCCCTGACCCAGAAGAGGGGAGCACCCGCCCCGCGGGGTGAAAACTGATTTCCTGGGCTCAGGCTGGGAACCCGCAGAGGTGGAATCGCGGGGGTGCCCCGGGCCGGCAAGGCACGGGGGTCCCCACGCTGGCCCCCCGGGATGGGGACAGGCCCCGCTCAGGCTTGCCTGAGACTAACATGAACGTGTCCAGCACAGGGGCAGTGGCTACACATTTGGTGAATCAGCAAAACAGCATTTGCTTACCGAGGGTCACGGGGGAAAATTGCATTTAGATGCTGCGGTGAGGTGCAGAGAAACTGAGGCAGGGTCGGCCTTGTGGAGACTGGACGGCCGGGCCGGCGGGCTGATCCCCCACCCAGGTCCTGACCTGAGCCGAGGTCAAGCCTCAGACGCTCAACCCACGGCCCCCGGGCGCTCTTCCTTTGGGGTTTCTTAATAACAGTCTCTCCCCCCTGGCCGCCTTTAGGGTAAGGATGCAGCGAATGGCACAGGTGATACGCAAACCTGTGTCAACGGACTGTCCGTGTCATCAGTAAGGTCTCGAGGGTCAGTTAAGTTTGGGGGACGGTTGCCAGGAGTTATACTCAGATTATTGACTGTGTGCGGGTGGGGGGGGGGTCAGCGGCTCCGACCCCCGAGTTGACAGGGGTCAACTATATATATTTGTCAATCGGGACAGGGCGCTGTCCTTCTACAATAATTGAGAGAATCCGCCTCCTCCCCGGGGTCGTGGGGACAACGAACCTCTGTGCCGAGAACTTGGCAGGCCCAGTCTTTTAAATTTTTTAAAAAGTTTTATTTATTCATGAGAGACACAGAGCGAGAGAGAGGCAGAGACACGGGCAGAGGGAGAAGCAGGCTCCACGCAGGGAGCCCGACGCGGGACTCGATCCCAGGACCCCGGGATCACACCCTGAGCCGCAGGCATTCCCCACCCCGTCTCTTAATCCTCACGAACCAAAACTCTGTGACATGGACCTTATTACCGACGTTTTCAGGTGAGACGACTCAGGCTCAGCGGAGCTCAGCAACTCGCCTAAAGCCCTAAGTCCGTGGGCGCAGACCTACGGGAAATCCCGGGGCTCGGCCTGCTGCCCCCCGCCCGCCCGGCCCAGGGAAGGGGAAGGGGAAGGACGCTGAGGCAGGAGATGGGGGCCGAAGGTCCCCCGCTGTGGGGCGAACCCGGGGACCTGAGCCACCCTGTCCCTCAACCACTTTCCCGCATTTGTCTCCACCTCTCCACCCCCCCTTCCCGGTTCGGCCCTCAGGCTGTCCGTGTAGGGCCAGGAGGCGGGGCCGCAGTTTGGGGAAACAAACAGGTTGGGAAAAACCCACCCAGAACTCCCCTGATTTTAGAAATCCGCCAGGCTCGGGGCGGGCGGGTCAGGACTCTCCTGGGGCACACGAGCAAACAGACCCGAGGGGCGAAGGGCCCGTGTTCTCCCTGCAGGGCTGTGGCCTGGCCGGGGCCTGCGCGGCCTCGCGTCATGGCAGCACCACAGGCGCCCCCGCCGGAGCCTGCCCCAGCAGGCCTCCCTCCAGCAGGCTGTGGACATAGGGCACCCCCGGCAGGGCGCTGGCACTTCCCCCTCCCACTTTCCAACCCCGCAGAGCAGATGCCACGTCAGGCTCTGCGGCCGCCCCCCACCCGGCCATGGAGATGGGCCGACGCCCCTTTCCATCACAGCAGCCTCCCTGGCCTGCCCGCAAGCCCCTGTCCTCTTCCGCGGGGATCCTGCCGGTACCGGCGCTGGATCCTTTCACATTCCCCCTCCCACGTACCACCCACGTCGCTCCCGTTTCACAGATTACAGGCTGAGGCCTAGAGGGGTTAAGGAACACACTCGTGGTCCCACTGCCAGTAAGCATCTAAGCAGGGCCCGGACCGGGGCCATCCACGTCTGGAGCCCACGTCCTTCTCGATGCGCCCCACGGCCATTCTAGCACGGCCCTGCCGCCGCGCCGTCGTGATCACTGAAATCCCACGCCTCGGGGCTGAGGTGTGCAGCCGCCAGACCAAGGCCTGTGAAACACTCGTCCAGGGTGTATCTGATCAGTGGGCTCGGCCCCAGAGGACTCAGGCCCCAGGGGCACCACGTCACCCGCAAAGATGCCAAGGGGAGACTTTTCTGATCTCTCAAGTGGGACGCAGCTGCCAGGACGCAGGACCCACCCTGGACCTACGTGGCCGCTCGTGCAACTGGACCTCGATCCCATCCAAGACCACCCAAGGAGAAGCACGCCCCAGGGTGTGCTCCTGTTTGCTTGAGGTAGGCAGCAACTGATGTGACCCTCAGAGAGCATCTCTACCCACTGGCGATTCCTTAATCCAGGGATCCTCAAATGGAGCTCCTCCGCCCTCGGCCATCCCCACAGAGTTCCCCGAGACACCTACTTCCCCGGAAACCCTCCCAACCCTCCACACAACCGGGTGCGTTTCCGTGGGACCAGACGTGCCTGGCCACAGCTCACCCCTGGGAGCTTCCAGGCAGAAAGACCAGTCACCTGGTCACTCTCCCGTGCTCCACTCTATCCAGCTCAAGCACACAGGCTCGCCTCTCCCCGGAAGTTTACAGCTTTCTCCTATTCGTCTACAAAAAAAGAGTTAAATGAGAGAAAGGAAACTCTAGGAGCTTCTGGAAGATCTCCTCTCATAGTTTCCAAGTGAGCCACAGCCATTTCCCTGGAAGAAAAGGCAGCTGGGTCATGGCTTTCAAAAGTCAGTTATTCCAGGCCCGGGTCTGTATATAGCAAGAGTCAGAGCTGCCGTGACGAAAGGTTTCTTCTTCCTGTTCCCCTTCCTTCAGCAGATAACCCATCCATCCCCCGCCCTCCCCTGCCCACCACAAACCTAGGGAAGTGACGCAAGCTTCCTCGGCCACCCCTTCCAGAACTGACGCACAAGGCAGCTATCCTGATCTCACCACCCATCTGGGAATGCCAGGCGCCCGTGAGGCCAACACGTGGAGTCCCACAGCCTGGAATGTCAGCACCCAGGGCTGGCATGGCTGCTGCCCACACCACAACAGGCAGACAAGATCTGACCCACAGACTGAATGAATCACCTGCCAAAGTAGGCCAGCGGATCCGCCAGCGAGCCACAGTCACGAGAGCCTACTAATCCTCTGCCCGCCCAGGGGTGGTACGGAATCTAGGCCAGTGGTTCTTTTTTTTTTATAATTTTTTTTTAATTTTTATTTATTTATGATAGTCTACAGAGAGAGAGAGAGAGGCAGAGACACAGGCAGAGGGAGAAGCAGGCTCCATGCACCGGGAGCCTGATGTGGGATTCGATCCCGGGTCTCCAGGATCGCGCCCTGGGCCAAAGGCAGGCGCCAAACCGCTGCGCCACCGAGGGATCCCCTAGGCCAGTGGTTCTTAAACTTGGCTACACACGGACTCATGTAGAGGAATCTCTTAGAAACACTGCTTGGGCTCCATCCTGGAGATCCTGATTTACAGTCTGGCGTACGGCCTAGGCATAGGCATTCTTTTTTTTTTTTTTTTTTTTTTTTATATAAACGTCCAGGCCATTCTAACGGGCAGCAGTGTTTGAGAAGAACAGATATAGACCCCTTGCAGGAAATTCCAGATGCCAAGGGTCCCCATCCAGCAGCAGAATTAATGGTCTGGCACCCACAGATATTCTCTACCCCAAGGTGTACCTAAGACGCAAGTATCTGCTGTGTGAACAAGAGCAGTAATATGGTGATCTTCACAGCGTAAGGCAAAGGCCTCAATTTGTATTCACCCGTCAGATTTTCTTTTTTTTTTTTTTTAATTTTTATTTATTTATGACAGGCACACAGTGAGAGAGAGAGAGGCAGAGACACAGGCAGAGGGAGAAGCAGGCTCCATGCACCGGGAGCCCGACGTGGGATTCGATCCCGGGTCTCCAGGATCGCGCCCTGGGCCAAAGGCAGGCGCCAAACCGCTGCGCCACCCAGGGATCCCTCCGTCAGATTTTCAAGTCCTCAAAGTGAAAGATTTGTTTCCACCCATGGATACAAAGCAAGAGACCGGGCAGATAGAGTTTTGTCTCCTGGGGTGGCCCAAGATGGAGACAGAATGGGGAACTCACTCTGTTAGGATTTCACAAAATACCGGCAATGGCCTGTGAGGTGTCTCTCGGAGGGGGTTTGTGCATCTCGGTGCATCTGTCATGGAATTCATCTGCTATGATTAAGCCCCTGGCGCTGGTGGCAGATGGTTTAGCTGTTCCCAATACAGCTGGCACTTCCAGGGCACTGGGGAAAAGTAGGTTTGTGCTCCCATACCCTGAGCCATGGCAAGGGCTGTGTTGCCTCTCAGCTGCTCAAGGGTATTGGGGTCCAGCCACGTGAAGAGGCTAGTGCTGGGAGTCCAAACAGAGGCTCTCCTGAGAGTGAGCCTCAAACTTTTCTATTAAAAATATCCTTGGGGTACCTGGGGTAGCTGAGTTGGGTAAGCATCTGACTCCTGATTTCGGCTCAGGTCAACCTCAGGGTCGTGGGATCAAGCCCCGAGTTGAGCCCCATGTTGGGTACTGTGCTCAGCTCAGAGTCTTGCTTGAGATTCTCTCTGTCTCTGTCCCTACCCCCACTCATGCTCTCTCTCTCTCAATTCATTAATTTAAAAAATATATATCCTTAACAACAAAATTAAGAGGCTCATCCCTCATATTTTGGGGCCTATCTCAGAGCAGATTTACCCCCTGTTGAATCTCACTTTATTTGGTTTTAAGAAGAAACCCAAACATGGGTAAATTCTGTGTTCTAGGGGATCCCTGGGTGGCTCAGCAGTTTAGTGCCTGCCTTTGGCCCAGGGTGTGATCCTGGAGCCCTGGGACCGAGTCCCACGTCAGGCTCCCGGCATGGAGCCTGCTTCTCCTTCCACCTGTGTCTCTGCCCCCCTCTCTCTCTTTCTATGTCTATCATG